TCAGCAGCAATGGATGAGTCTTCTTCTGAAGTCCTGCCCCTTGCCTCTCCACTCGAGTTTGGAAACTGGAGGCTAAATTATCAGTAAAAAATCTTCATTTTTCTTTTTTCCCTGAAATGACTAGTTCTCAGCAGCAATGGAGGAGTCTTCTTCTGAAGGCCTCTCCTGTATCAGCATTTTGATTATATTGATTCTTCTGATCCAAGAGCAAGTGGTGTCTTTCCATTTTTTTCTTTAGTTTCTCAGTTTTCTTTCTAGAGGTTTTTCACCTCTTTAGACTTATCCCTATTTTTTTATATATTATAAATGGGATTGCTCTCTTCATTTCTCAGTTCTTATTCTTTATTTTTTTTTAGAGAGGTTTTTGCTATAGGGCATGTTTGCTCACCAGAGAGACAGAGAGACAGAGAGCAAGAAATCTCTCCCCAGGGGGGATGGCCATGCCACAATCACTTCTCTTTCATTCTTCTCGTGGGATTTTGGGCACACACGCACACACACCTGGCATGAGTTTTGTTTTGTTTTGTTTTTCTTTCAAGAGAAATTTTTGCTGTGGGGCATATTTGCTCACTGGAGAGACAGAGAAAGCAAGAAATCACTCCCCAGGGGGATGGCAATGCCACAATCCCTTCTCCTTCATTCTCCTCTTGGGATCTTGGGCACACATGTACATGTGCCCAGCATGAGTTTTAAATCTCCAGGTCTAGGATTTGAACCGTGATCAACTCTGTGGGAGTCTAGTGACATAAAAATTACACCATTGTGGAACCATCAGTTGGCATAATGGCTATGTCTTTGGACTCACATGTAGTCAACTGCAGTTCGAGTCCTGGACCCAGTGGCTTAAACTCATGCTGGGCACGTGTGTGCCCAAAATCCTGAGAGGAGAATGGAGGAGAAGGGATTGCAGTGTGGCCATCCCCTGGGGAGTGATTTCTCACTTTCTGTCTGTCTCTGTTTCTGGCAAGCACATGCACCGTATAGCAAAAACTTCTCCAAAAAAAAAAAAATATTACACCATCTGCTGTTCCCAAGCTACAGATTTTTGTATATTGATTTTGTATCGAACGTTAGTGAATTAATTTATTACTTCTAGTTTTTTTTAGTGGATTCTTTTGTTTTTATATGTACAACTATATCATCTAAAACAGGAATGATTTGACTTCTTCCTTTCTTATTTGAATGCCTTTTTTTTTTTTTTGGAGAGGTTTTCGCTATAGGGCGCGTGCGCTCGCCAGACAGACAGAGAGAGACATAGAGACAGAAAGAGAGAAATCACCCCCCAGGGGGGATGGTCACGCAGCAACCCCTTCTCCTCCATTCTCCTCTCGGGACCTTGGGCACGCACGCACACGCGCCTGGCATGAGATTTAAGCCACCGGGTCCACGATGCGAACCGCGGTCGACTACGTGGGAGTCCAGCGACATAGCCATTACGCTAACTGCTGGTTCCCAATGCCTTTTTTTTAAAAAACATGCTAGAGGATGCGTGTACTTGCCAGAGAGAGAGAGAAAGTGAGAAAGCATCCTCCATGAGGAGTGATCATGTTACAGTCCTTTCCCCTCCCTTCTTTTGGGACTTTGGACACACACACACACACACACACACACACATGCCCCCAGTGTGTTTCTCAAGCCAGATTTGGGACTCAAACTGGGCAGTCAGCCATGTAGGATTCTGCTACTTTAACCACCATGTGATGGACTGGCCTTCGAATGCCTTTTGCTTCACATTCTTGTCTGATTGCATTGGCTAGGACTTCCAAGATTGTGTTGGAAAAGAGTGGGGAAAGTGGACAACTTTGTCTTAGTCCAGTATTTAATAGAAAAGCTTTCAGCTTTTTGCCATTCAGTATGATGTTAAGTATGAGTTTGTCAAATATGCTTTTTATTATGGTGAAAAATATACCTGTATACCTATTTTATAGAGAGTCTTACTCATGAAGCAAGATTGCATTTTATCAAGTTGTTTTTCAGCTTCAATTGATGTGATTATATGGTTTTTATCTTTCATTCTGTTAATGTGATATATTACGTTTATTGTTTTGCATATGCTGAACAACACATGTATCCTTAGGACAAAGTCTACTTGGTGATAGTGTATAATTTTTTTGTAAAAGAATTTAATTAGTTAATTAAATTTTATTTATTTATTTATTTATTGGAGAGTTTTTGTTTGTTTGTTTTGTTTTTTGCTATAGGGCACATGCGCTCACCAGACAGACAGAGAGACAGAAAGTGAGAAATCACCCCCCAGGGAGGATGGCCACACCACAACAGCGACATAGCCATTCCACTAACTGCTGGTACTGATTTATTTATTTATTTTAATTTTATTATTTTATTTATTTATCTTTTAATTAATTTATTTTAATTTTAATTTGGCCAGAGAGGGACAGAAAGAGAGAGAGAAAGAGTGAGAAATCAAGCCTCCAGGTCCAGGACTTGAACTGTAGTTGACCATGTGGAAGTCCAGCACCCTTAACCACCATACAACCTGCCAGCCCTATGTATAATCTTTTGAATGTGCTGTTAGATTCAGTTTGCTAGTATTTTGTAGATGACTTTTTTTGGGGGGGGGAGGTTTTTGCTATAGGGCACGTGCACTCGCCAGAAAGAGAGAGACAGAGAGACAGAAAGCAAGAAATCACCCCCCAGGGGGGATGGCCATGCCGCAATCCCTTCTCCTCCATTCTCCTCTCGAAATCTTGGGCACACACGCACATGCGCCTGGCGTGAGTTTAAGCCACAGCGTCCGGGACTCGAACCGCAGCAATGTAGACATTACTCTAATTGCTGGTCCCTATAGAAGACTTTTACATCTATATTCGTCAATGATAGTTTTTTTTGTTGTTGTTGTTCCCTTGTCTGCTTTTGCTACCAAGGTCTTGATGGCTTCATAAAATGAGTTTGAGAGGATTCATTCTATTTGGATCCTTTTGGAGGCTATTTTTTTAAAGGCATTATTTATTTAATTTTATTCATTCATTTATTTATTTATTTTTTCAGTTTGACCAGAGAAAGACAGAGAGAGAAAGGGAAAGTGAGAAACCAAGCCATCACGTCTGAGACTCAAACCCTGGTCAGCCATGTGGGAGTCCAACACCTTAACCACTATGCCACCAGCTGGCGCCCACTGGAGGCTATTTATTACTTTTGTTGTCTTCTTTTATTTATTTATTTATTTATTAGATTTTTACTTTAGGGTGCTTATGCTCACCAAAGATACAGAGAGACAGAAAGTGAGAAATCACCCCCTGGGGGGATACCATGCTGTAGTCTCTTCTCCATTCTCCTTCTGGGATCTGGGCATGCACACATATGTACCTGGTGTGAGTTTTAAGCCACTGAGTCTGGAACTCAAATCACAGTCGACTACGTGAGAGTCCAGCAACGTAACTATTTCACCATCTGCTGTTCCTTTGTTGTCTTCATTTTTATTCATTATTTTCTTCTTTTTGGCAACTTGGACTAAATCAAAGGTTGTATCTTCCTCTCAGAGATTCTGCATGGCTGACTGACCTGTGGTTGAAACAGTCTACAGAGTTTTTTGGTTTGACTCTTTTTTTCTTTTTTGAGAGGTTTGTTTGCTATAGGCATGTGTGCTCGCCAGAAAGACAGAGAGACAGAAAGTGAGAAATCACCCACCCAGGGTGATGGCCCATTCTCCTCTGAGGATCTTGGGCATGCATGCACATTTGCCCGGCGTGAGTTTTAAGCCACCGGGTCCAGGACGCGAACCGCGGTCGACTACGTGGGAATCCAGCGACATAGCCATTATGCGGAGGAGAAGGGATTGCGGTGTGACCATCTCCCCTGGGGGGTGATTTCTCGCTTTCTGTCTCTCTGTCTCTCTCTGTCTGGCGAGTGCATGCGCCCTATAGCGAAAACCTCTCAAAAAAAAAAAAAAGATGTCTACGTCTTTATAGAATTTTTGTTCATGTCACAGAATGATTTTCTCATCTGCTAGAGTTGTTCTCGCTTACATTTCATTCAGTTATATTATAATCCATATTCTAAATCGCATTTCTGACATTTCTGTGATTTCCTGTATTTGTCCATCGTTCCTGAGCAGTTTCTGTGTTCCTGTGGGCGAGAAATATTTCCTTATGTTTTCATATTTCTTGTGGCCCTGTGTTGATTTTTGGGCATCTAGTAGAGTACTTCTTCCTGATTTATGGAGTAGAGTTTGTAATGCCTGGAGGCCGGGCAGCCCTAAGCCCCAAAGTGCATCCCTGGGAGGGTGGTCTAGGAGGGACCGGAGCTTGCCAAGACTGGAGCAGGGTTTGGTAACCTGTCTGTGGAACCTAGAGGCTGAGTGGTTTTACAGACCCAAGTGCAGCTAGCACCGTATCCAGGACGGCCTGGAGGCAAGCCTGTGAGACCCAGTAAGCAGAACAAGAGCAGTCTGTGCGGAACACTCCAGGGCAGTGCAGCTTTAAAGGCCCTGTATGTGGAACACTCCAGGGCAGTGCAGCTTTAAAGGCCTTATGTGGCCCTGGGAAGGCCGGCTGCAGAGGGAGAGGGCAAGCTGTGTCATGCCAAGGAACACCTTCTGGGTTTCAAATGCCTTCAGATTTGCCTAATTGTCATGTATTATGTCTTTCCTATATTCAGTTTGATTTACTGAGGGACTAAAGTATTTAGGACAGACATTAATTTAGACCATAAGCTACTCATTAGGTGACAGCACCATTTAGTTTTTGACTTTATTTATTTTATCTGTGTTTAGGAATGCTAAAGGGCACACGTGCAAACAGTATGTTAAATTTGCAGCTATCGCAACAAACAACTCTATCTATCAGCATTCTGAGCTGAGCACTGGGGGAAGACCAGTGGTTTACTGGGGCTGTGTTCTCTTGGCCGTGGCCTCTCAGGACCCAGGAAGACTGTTAGATACTGCGGCCTGTTAGCAGTAGTTGCAGCAGTAGCTCTAAGGTTTAACAGTGGGCTCCTCGCTTGACTTACACTTCATTTACTCATGTGACTCCTGTCTTTAGGCACAGGTTCGAGCTGGGCTAAAAAGGAGTAAAGAGACTGTACCTACACCAACAGGTAATGGAGGCTGTTCTCTGTTTCTGTTATACAAAGGCTGACTCTTGATTCAGCCTGGTGATTAAGATAGCTCGATCACACGGGTCAAGCAGGTCATTAAGGTACTGGACTCCCACATGACCAGTTATGGTTCAAGTCTCAGACCTAGTGTATTGAAAATCATGCTGGGAACCCGGCAGGTGGTGTGGTGGTTGGACACTGGAGTCCTACATGACTGACTGCGGTTCAAGTCCTGGACCTGGCAGCTTGCTTTCTTACTTCCCCTCTCTCTCTTTGTCTCTCTCTGGTAAGTGCACATGCCCTATAGCAAATTAAATAATAATAATAAATAAAATAAAATAAATAATTCTTTAAAAAAAAAAAGAAAAGGAAAGAAAATCACACCAGTGAGCATGCATGTGTGCCCAGGATCCAGGAGGAAGATGATGAAGGGACTGTGGTGTGGCCATTCTTGGGGAAGGGGGTGATTTCTTCACTTTCCCTCTCACTGTCTCTGTCTCTCTCCAGCAAAGCATGTGTCCTATGGCAAAACAAAAAAAAAAAAAGAAAGAAAAAATAGGTGGATCCTGCATAGCCTGCTACGTAGTTCCAAGTCCTGGACTCAGTGACTTCAAAAACAGACTGGGGCCAACAAGTGGCATAGTGGTTAAGGCACTGGACTCCCACATGGTTGACCTGGTTTGAGTCCTAGACCTGGAGGCTTGGGCTTGGAACACACCAGGCGTATGTGCATGCATGCCCAAAATCCCAACAGGAGAATGAAGGAGAAGGGATTGCAGCATGGCTGGGGGAGGGTGATTTCTTGCTTTCTGTCTCTCTCTGTCTCTCCAGCAAATGCATGGACACTATAGCAAAAATCACTTAAAAACTTCATTTAAGAAAAGCAAACCAGGCCCATGTGTATACATACCGTAGTCCTGAAAGGAAAAAGAAATACAGAAGAGATTGTGGCATGGCCATTCTGCATGAGGGTGCTTTCTTTAGGCACAGGTTCGAGCTGGGCTAAAAAGGAGTAAAGAGACTGTACCTACACCAACAGGTAATGGAGGCTGTTCTCTGTTTCTGTTATACAAAGGCTGACTCTTGATTCAGCCTGGTGATTAAGATAGCTCGATCACACGGGTCAAGCAGGTCATTAAGGTACTGGACTCCCACATGACCAGTTATGGTTCAAGTCTCAGACCTAGTGTATTGAAAATCATGCTGGGAACCCGGCAGGTGGTGTGGTGGTTGGACACTGGAGTCCTACATGACTGACTGCGGTTCAAGTCCTGGACCTGGCAGCTTGCTTTCTTACTTCCCCTCTCTCTCTTTGTCTCTCTCTGGTAAGTGCACATGCCCTATAGCAAATTAAATAATAATAATAAATAAAATAAAATAAATAATTCTTTAAAAAAAAAAAGAAAAGGAAAGAAAATCACACCAGTGAGCATGCATGTGTGCCCAGGATCCAGGAGGAAGATGATGAAGGGACTGTGGTGTGGCCATTCTTGGGGAAGGGGGTGATTTCTTCACTTTCCCTCTCACTGTCTCTGTCTCTCTCCAGCAAAGCATGTGTCCTATGGCAAAACAAAAAAAAAAAAAGAAAGAAAAAATAGGTGGATCCTGCATAGCCTGCTACGTAGTTCCAAGTCCTGGACTCAGTGACTTCAAAAACAGACTGGGGCCAACAAGTGGCATAGTGGTTAAGGCACTGGACTCCCACATGGTTGACCTGGTTTGAGTCCTAGACCTGGAGGCTTGGGCTTGGAACACACCAGGCGTATGTGCATGCATGCCCAAAATCCCAACAGGAGAATGAAGGAGAAGGGATTGCAGCATGGCTGGGGGAGGGTGATTTCTTGCTTTCTGTCTCTCTCTGTCTCTCCAGCAAATGCATGGACACTATAGCAAAAATCACTTAAAAACTTCATTTAAGAAAAGCAAACCAGGCCCATGTGTATACATACCGTAGTCCTGAAAGGAAAAAGAAATACAGAAGAGATTGTGGCATGGCCATTCTGCATGAGGGTGCTTTCAGTCTCTGGAGAGTATACACACCCTCTGACAAATTAAAAAAAAATAAAAAAGAAAAACTTTTTTTTCCTCCTTTTCAAAAAAATTATACTTGCAAGGGACCAGCAGTTGGCATAATGGCTATGTCGCTGGACTCCCATATAATCGACTGTGGTTATACCTTCTCCTCCATCCTCCTCTTGGGATCTTGGGCACGTATGTGCGCATGCCTGGTGTGAGTTTAAGCCACCGGGTCTGGGACTCGAACCGCGTGCGACTACATGGGAGTTTAGTGACATAGTCACTACACTAACTGCTGGTCCCAATCTCTTCACTTCTATTCCTCCAACCTGTTGGGATTTGGGGTACACATCCACTTATACACTTGGCATGTTTTTCCTGCTGCCAGCACCGGAATTTGCACTTCAGTAAGCCATATGGAACTCATGGCCTAGGGAAGAGTTCTCTTCTAGGTTACATGGCCAGCCCCTAAGACTGAGACCTAATGTGGCCAGGGTTGCTTAGTTTATGAGACCCTGCTCTCTTACTCAATAAAATTTGCCTCAGTCCTAATAATTGGCAAAGTCAACTATGGATTCTTCTATGAAATGAATGTTTGTTTGTTTATTTATTTATTCATGCTATAGGATGCATGTGCTCCCCAGAGAGAGATGGAAAGAGGGAAAGTGAGAAATCACCCTCCCTTAACGGGGATGGCCACACTGCAGTCCCTTCTCCTCTATTCTCCTCTCAGGATTTTGAGCACACACGTGCAAACACCTGGTGTGATTTTTCAAGTCACCAGGTTGAGGAATCAAACCGTGATTGGCCGTGTGGCAGTTCAGTGTCTTAACCACCGTGCCACTTGTTGGCCCCTATGAAGTGTTTTTTAAAATGTGATTTCATGAATACTAACCAATGATTGAGAGGCATTGTTTACTTTATTATAAACTTCAACAATATTCTTTTCTGTGTCCCTTTACTTGGGTCAGTAACAAAGCCAATAACCCACTGTTCTCTGTAAGCAGACCTACCTACCCTGGAAAGAGAAGTAACTGGTGGAGTGATTTTGCCTGATATTATCAGACCGGAGAGCCAGACCAGCCAACTGATGGTGCTGGATGAACACAACCAGTATGCAGTGCCTACCGTTGGGGAGGCTTTGACAGTGAGACAATTGATTTTCTACCGTGGCATGGCATTAGCCGTTTCTGTTACGACCTTTATAGCAGGAATCTTAATACGAGTTTTCAATGACCGTGGATAAAATAGAATTATCACTAGTCCACAAACTAGAAGTGGTTACTGTAAGCTGGGAGTTGACCTTGTTATATGGATGGGGGTCTCACGCTCAGCCATGGGTAGAAGAGATATCAGTGTGAGGTGTCCTTGCTTATTATGAGAAATTGCACTGTCTTACTGAAGGTCAAGAGAGGAGCTATAATTTTAGGTATGTTTTTTCTCAAATGTTATCTTTATCATGGTTTCTAAATCTGTAACGTTGATTTTCCCTGCTGCAAATGTTCTTCACTCGTTTTTAATATTATCTTTATTTCAAGAAACTGGTTGGTTCCATGCCTATAAAATATTGCTGATCCAGTTTTGTTTGTATTTCTGTTAAGTACTCAATCTTCTCAGTGAACATATATTCAGTGTCTGTTCAGTTCTATCTCAGGTATTCCATATAAGCTCTTATAAAATAAATACATTAAAGGACTGGCAGGTGGCATGGTGGTTAAGGGTGCTGGTCTCCCACATGGCTAACCTCAGCTCAGTCCTGGATCTGGTGGCTTGCTTTCTCACTTTCTCTCTCACTCTGTCCCTCTCTGGTCAAATTAAAATAAATAAATAAATAAGTTTAAATAAAATAACTCTTAAAAATTATATTAAAATTGAAAATGTGTCTGGCAATACAATAATATAATGTAATAAATAACTTTTAATGTTCTAATAACACCTTTTTGTAGCAACTTTCATGTTAATTAGACTATACACCTGTTCTCTTCTGCTGCTCTGCTCCCAGAATGCCGACAGTGGTGGCTTCACCTTTCAGACAAGAGATTTTGAGATAATTTTCTGAAGAATTTGATCAAACCAAAGGGTGTCCCCCAATACAGTACCTACCATGTACCTAAAGTGCACCTCACAGCTCAGAACCCAGGTGACCATGCCTCCCTGAGCGTATTTCTCTCCCTCTCTTGAATATGAACGAGCAGCCTAGGATTGTCAGATACCTGCATAAAAAAAAAAAAATGCAACTTACCTGAGAAAGCAGCTAGAAAGGAACAGACTTTGGGCCAGCAGGTGGCCTGGAGGTTACAGTGGATAGATCCCTCGTGGACAACTATGTGGTTCAAGTCCCAGACCCAGAGGCTTAAGAAACATGCCAGGCACATGGGCAGGTATGCCCAAAATCCTGAGAGGAGAATGGAGAAGAAGGGATGGCAGTGTGGCCATTCCCTCTGAGGGGTGATTTCTCACTCCCCCCCTCTGTCTTTATCTCTCTACTGTGAACGCACCTACCCTGCACAAACTAAAAAAAAGGAAAGTCAAGAAAGGAAAAGACTTTGTAGGGTGTAGGAAACATATCCTCAAAGAGGTAGCACTGAATATTGCAACCATGATTCGGAATAGGATGCTGTAGAATCAGACGGCAGAACACCGCGTTAAAGTTCACGTAGCATTAGGATCGACCTGGTCCAAGCGTGCGAGTCAGCGGCCTTTGGTGCGTTCACAGCGTTGCACAGCCGCCGCCTCTTTCTAGTTGCAGTAGAAACCCCAGCTGTGAGGAGCTCCCGCCCCAGCCTCCTCTCCCCAGGCACCGGGAACCATCTGCTTTCTGATCCAGCTCTCTGCATGGCAGAGGCCCTGTGAAGAGAAGCTGCAGAGATCCAGCCCATCTTTCAGGGATGAAACTAGCTCTGGTGAGCCCCAAACCCAGCCAGCTACAGAGCAGTGCCATTTCGAGAACTGAACAACTGCTGAAGGGAAACCCGCCCTAAGGATGGATGTCCTGCAAGTCTTTGCATCCCTGAGGACCCACAGAAATCCCACCAGACTTGAGTGGGTGGCTGCCGAGACTGAGAAGTAGGGCGGTGTGACCCCAGCACTCAAGCCCATGCAGCATCATACACTCCAGAATGCAGATCATCCACCTCAGTGGACTGCGGTGTAATCTGGACTGCTCTGAGGGACAGAACCTGGCGTGTGCGTGCGTCTTCCTCTCTCCTCAGAGAAGAGACTAAGGAAACCAGGCATTCTCCCGACTGCCTGCACTCACACTTTTCCTCGCCCAATACAGAACTCCAGAAATAGATCCCCATCTCCTCTATTGTCACCTGCAGTGTGCGTCTCCTGATCTCAGAGTGTAAGAGGAGAGAAGGGTGACTTATGGAGAAGAGGGTGCTATGGATTCCCCCACCTGGGCAGAGAGGAGGAGATGGGAGTTGGGGAGTGCAATGTAGAGGCTCTCCCTAGACCCCAACCCCAGCACCATGTAGGCCCATCCAGATCAGCCCCATGCCCCTAAAGGCCCCTTTAATACTGAGTGGTCCTACCCATAGCATAGCCATGCCCCTGTTGGTCCCAGCTAACCTTGCTAATGCCCTGGGAGGCTGGCCCAGAACACCCCCCACTAGCACACCACATGTCCATCCAGAACACCTCTGTGCCTCTGCAGGTCCCTACTAGTGCCCTGAAGACCTGCTCGGCATGCCTTCATGCACTCACTGGGCCCTGCTGGTGCTGTGGAAGTCCATCCAGAGATCATGCCTCCTGCCTGCACCATGGAGGCTCGCACAGAGACCTCTTCCACCTGTGTGCACTAAGGAGGTCCACTCAGGCATGAGGGAATCCACCCATTTTCCAGGAAGAATTGAGTTCCCCACCAGAGGTCTAAATATCAACACAGGGACATAAGAAATACAAAAAGACAAGGGAATATTTGTCCTCCGAAGGAATGCACTAACTCCCTACCACTAACAGATAAAATGTAGGAAATCACAGAAGTTGGAAAGGAATTTTGGAATATTGGTTATGATAAAAATCCAATGAGATACAAGAGAATATAGATGATTAACTCTAAGAGATCAGAAAAACTTTCTGTGACATGTATTTAAAAATCCAGTAGAGGGAACCAGCAGTTAGCGTAATGGCTATGTCGCTGGACTCCCACGTAGTCAACCGCGGTTCGAGTCCCGGACCCGGTGGCTTAAAACTCACGCCGGACGCGTGTGCGTATGTGCCCAAGATCCCCAAAGGAGAATGGAGGAGAAGGGACTGGATGGGACGCCGGCTGAGCCATCCCCCCCTGGGGGGTGATTTCTCGCTTTCTGTCTCTATGTCTCTCTCTGTCTGTCTGGCGAGCGCACGCGCCCTATAGCGAAAAACCTCTCCAAAAAAAAAAAAAAGAAAATCCAGTAGAGATATAGATATCTTAAAAAAAAAGAACACAAATAGAAATCCTGGTGATGAAGACTAAAATATAGGAAATAAACATTTCCGTAGAGAACATCAACAATGGGTCAGGAGCATGCAGGAGAATCTCAGAACTTGAAGACAAGCTTTTAACTAGCCCAATCCATCAGAAAGAAAAAGGAGCTGTTAAAAATAAAGAGAATATATGAGAAATTTGGAATACCATTAAGCAATCAAATATTTACATTATGAGTATCCCAGAGACAAAGAGAAGGAAAAAGGTATAGAAAAATCTATTTCATAAAATATTAGTTGAAAACTTCGCAAATCTAAAGGGTGATACAAACATCCACATCCAGGAAATTCGAAGGACACCAAAAAGATATATGAGGATTCTCTATAAAGCATATTATAATCAACATGTCAAAAATCAAAGATAAAGATAAAAGCCACAAAGTTGGCCAGAGAAAAGTGCCAAAGTTATTTATAAAGAATAACCCATTCGACTAACCTCAGACCTCTCAGCAGAGACCTTAAAGGTCAGGAGAGAGTGATAGGACATCCAAAATTCTACAACAATTTTGACCAGGAACACAACACCCAGCAAAGTATCCTTAAAATGGGAAGGAGAAATAAAATCATTCCTGGACAAACAAAAACGGAAAGAATTCACCGATACTAGATTCTTCAAGAAATATGAGAATACTACATCTGAAAATGAAAACCATCATCAACATGAAATTGTGTGAAGGTGGGAAATTCACCAGAAGAACAACTACTTAAAGAAATAGAAAGTATTTGGGCCAGCAGGTGGCATGGTGGTTAAGGTGCTGGACATTCCCACATGGCCAACCATAGTTCAAATCCCAGACCTGGTTGCTTGCTTTCTCACTTCCTCTCTAATCAAATTAAAATAAATGAATAAATAAAATAAAATAAATAACTCTTAAAGAAATAGAAAGTACTTAATTACGACCACTACAGAAATCCATGAGATAGCAAAGATAGTAATAGGAGAAAAAAAGAACACATAAAACAATCAGGAACCAATCAACAAAATGGCAGGTGTAAATCTGTACCTATCAATAATATCATTGAATGTGAATGGATTAAACTCCTCAGTCCAAAGATACAGACTAGCTGAATGGGAAACAAAACACCCAGGGCCTTTTATGTAATGCTTAAAAGAAGCACACCACATCAGTAAAGACACACACAGATTAAGAACGAAAGATTGAAAAAAGTCCTTCCATGCAAATGGAAGCCAGAAGAAAGCAGGTATAGCAATCCTAATATCAGACAAAATCGGCTTTGAGTTAAAATCTATAAAAAGAGACAAAGAAGATTGTTACGTAGTATTTAAGAGATCAACTCACTGAGAATATATAACAGTTATAAATATTTACACATCCAACGTTGGAGCACCCAAATACATAAAACAGACTGCTAAACCTGAAGGGAGACACAGACTCTAACATAGTAATTGTTGGGGATTTAAATATCCCACTTTCACTATTAGCTAAGTCATGCAGACAAAAATTAAACAAAGAAACATTGAAGTTAAATGACACCATAAACCAAATGGATCTGACATTTATAGAGCATCTCACCCAAGAAATACAGAATACACATTCCTCTCAGCCACACACGTGCCATTCTCCAAGAGCAACCATATAATATAGCACACAAAAAGCCTCCATAGATTCAAAAAATTAGAAATAAAATCTATGCTTTCTGTTCACAGTGGGATTAACACTGAAATAAAAATAAATAAAGAAGGGGCCAGCAAGTGACACAGTGGTTAAGACGCTGGACTCTCAGCTGACCAACCCTGGTTCATGTCCTGCACCCGGTGGCTTGAAACTCACGCCGGGCACATGTGCATGTGTGCCCAAAATCCCAAGAGGAGAGTGGAGAAGGGATTGCGATGTGGGCATCCCCCTTGTGGGGTGATTTTTCACTTTCTCTCTCTTCGTCTCTGTCTTTCTGATGAGTGCATGTATCCTTTAACAAAAATCTCTCCTCCACAAAAACAAAAACAAAAGCAAAAAGAACATTTGGAAACATATGAGTGCATGGAAACAAAAGAACGTGCT